CTTTCCTCGTTACCAATCAAAACATTTCTCGATAGTTTAGGACAGATAAGTTATTGTTGTCACCCTTAAATTAAGTTCCCAATCTTTGGTTTTCACTTGAGATACTTCTGTTGAGCTCATTATGAGCGAATGAAGTTTCATGGCGCTGGATGCGTGAAAAAAAGCTGTATCATCTTGTTCAGCTGTTTATAGCCTCGAAATGACAAATTCCTCATATTATCCTAATAGATTTCATATATTGTGATCGGGAAAAAAATTATGAGAAATTTAAATTGTGATGAGACTGAAAAAGATGAAAACACAGTAGATACTGGTCTTCAATAATTTTGTTGGCTGCATGTTAGTGGCTTTGAGGACGTGTTTGGTAAACAAATAATCAACGAACTGAATGTTAAGAGACCAGCTTCAGTTAAGAGTGTCTCGTAAGGAAAAAAGGATTTTCATAAAATTCTCCTCTCCAATCGCAAACGTAAAAAAAAAAGAAAAGAAAGACAAAAACAAATGGTCACATCTAAAGTGAAACAGGTAAAATGCAGCACAAACAGTCGATAGAAACTGTGCATAGCCATGTGATTTGTTTAAAAAATGTAGAATAGGTTAATACGATTGTTGGAGCGTGCAACGGAAGTTTTCATACAAGCAATCTCCCCACAAGTGTGATTAACTTTTTGTGGCTTACCGTCAAGGCGAGGAGGAAAGACTTCATCATCTGTCGACCGTAAAGTTGTCTTGCTACACACCTTAGGTCTTCTGGAGATGGCCAAGTTTGATACTTGATTTATAATCACGATATATATAGTCTCTATCAGCCAATCAGAAAATTTGAGGATATTGTAGGACTCTTGCAAATTTTTGTAGCAATACCGAATTAATCGCCATCAATCCTGCCCTCTAGTATCACTTTTAATTGAACCTTTTTTCGTAAGTCGGTTTTTATCGGCGTCAATAATATTTTACTCGACAAGCGACATTCTTAAACGCATCACCAGCATTAATACTAAAATGGGGCTTTGCCCCTTTTTGCCGCGTAAAATTATTTACATAAAAATATCTGTGGCTCTCGAAGCTTCGAGTGATGAATATTGCTATGGAAGGAAACAAGACCAAAGGCTATTGAATGTAACTTACATAACTGAGAGGAAAAATTAAACATTCTTTTGAGAGGTGATCTTATAATTCTTTTGTAGTCTATACCAGATTGCTTTAAATTGTTTGGATATCACTGAATCACTAAATTTAATCACTTACCACTATATGAAATTTTCTTGGAGTAGACATTTAATAAATCGTAGGGGATAAACAAGCTTTAATTATAGAAATATTGCAGTTTATTCAAATTTGACTGAGAAGTGTATAAAATATCTCAACTGCCACCGAACCAGTATAATTAGAAAGCATTTGAGAGGATCTCTCGGATCTATAGCGCGTCACAATTCCTCACAACCAATATACACTTAATGCGTTGTGAGGACCATTGGAGTTTTCGGCACTCTTCCACTTAACAAAAACAGCCCTCTTAGGACTTCCGAGCTGGCATCTCCTCGTTTAGAAAGATATGGAAAGGATTTCACGAGCTGAATTAATTTTTTTCCCACTCCAAAAGTATAATTAATTCTAATAATGATCTCAAAGTCATAATCACACTTTCAATTGAGCATTTCAACAGTTTATATCAATGTTTTGGCGAAATTGCTGGTACAATTCTACTTTTAGATATAAACATTCCACAACAATCCATCGAGACTTAACAATCATCAATTATATTTAGGTCGATTGTTTGGGTTTAAGGTTCAGACAAGAGAAAGCAAACATTGAAAATGATTCACCCCATGTTGGACCTGGCTGGAATTAATAACATACTGTATGAAAAAACAGTTCTCTGTGTTCGACTTTCTGAAAAGTTATTTTTAAATCTGAGAATTCCTCGGGCGTCTTTGAAAGCGCTATCACAAAAAAATAAATTCTGGTGAAGGAGCTTAACATCGATAAGCAAAATGAGCAAAATATTCATTGAACTAATAGACAGAGCAAGCGTCGAAGGTCAAAATTCAGATATCTTCCTTAATTGTTTATTTATAAAATTCGCTTTTCGATTTGTTTTTTATTTTAATCGCTTTTTGTTTTGTTTTTATTTTTTCCACATTCTTGTGCCAAGGGCAACTTAAGGCCGGCCTTTCTCCTCTCACTCTGACGGTAAATGAAACAAATAAAACCAATAATGGAACTTAGAAAAACAAAACAATGAAAATCTCCGCAGTTTCCTACACCAAGCTAAACTCAAGCATGTGGTTTTGCAATGGAAGCATGCTTTGACGTAATTAAGACATAAGAGTTTGCTCGATTCATTATTTCGAAGCATGCCTAATTAATTTCTTAACTTTAAGAAACTCTTGTCATTGATTGAAATATAAAAATGTTTCCTTAACTTTTTTTTTTGCCCGAAGAAGTTGCGGAAATTCTATGTATTGCTAATAGAAGGCATTTGCATCATTGTGGACGATAAATAGTGCTTCTCCATGCAAAGCCCCCTTTTACCTCCTTAACTTTAAACTTAATGGCTGTCTAGCCTTTCCGTCGACTGATTTCATCAAGAGTTTGAAAGCACACTATTTTGTAGAGAAAGTTAAAAGTTTCCATGTAGGGCTTATATTTCAATAATTAAATATTCAGTTTCAAATGTGCGTAATTGCTTCATATTTTAGCTGATATGATTAACCAAGATAAATTATTTTAAACAATCTGGACTTAAAATGTGGTCAGAGTGAAAGGAAAGAGCCGTTTCATTACAATAAAGTTCGAATCTTGCGGATTGCAGTATCTTCATAGCTATTGGATCTGCTATGGTCAAAATGTTCATTTCTTCCATTTGGACTGCTTCGCTCCGCAAAAGTTCTAACAAGGCTATTTTTTCTGATTGTCATAACATAATTTGACTATGCATCTGAAAGTAACTCATATGCTTTACTTTATGAGCTGAAACTTAGCTATAGAAAGTTCTATCTTCTGCGATCCGACAGATATTTCATATCATTAATGATAGTTTAAACTTGTCTTGGCTAGATTTTGGACAGGAGCTTAATAGGTAATCGAGTTTCATTAACTCTGACACGACTCAACATAGTAAGCTCTTCTAAAAATGGAACACAAGATAAATGACGTACTTTTCTTCATTTGAATTCTTAAATTCCAAGTTATCACTAGAGGAATAATCTCTTAGGGGGAAATCACAAGTATCTTTCAAAATGATTCATTACGACTTGCAGATGAAGAAGGCCAGAATATTAGTCTTAAAAAAGATAAAAAAAAAAAAACCGGAACGACGTCTTACAAGCTGACACAAATATAATTCCATCTAACCATCCTTAATTATTTGCTTTTTTACTATTCCTGATAATTTGAAGTCTAGTCAACAGCTTAAATAAAGTTTATCAATATGTATCCGTAATATTTATTAATATTCATTCATCAATTCATTATGATATTATTTATTAATCAGATGAATCACGTAGACAGCGGTTTTATTGAATAGATGAATCTTGTTTCCTTTCCCCGAATTGAAGAATTCGTCACTTTCTGGAAAATGAACACAACAGCGCTAGGCTATTGATTTCTCAGAATTCTGAAGTCCAACAGACCTTCACTTATTTGAAACTTCCACGAGGTTCTTGTTTTATTTTTTTCCGTGAATTTCTTCAAATAAGGGCTTGTTCGATTAATCGGTGCCAATATTCTTTTCCTTGACATACCCTCGATAAAACTCTCGTCTGACTGGATGCCAAGGTACAAAATTATTCGTGGTTTGAATTTCTTTACTTTCTGTCCCACCACCATGCACTGGGTATGCTTTAGTTTACACTTTTTACAAAACAGGAATTACGATGTATAAGTTGTATCATATATTTTTCCTGCTGCGATAAGGTAAAAACCGATTGTCCCCCGGTGATATTCGTGATAAGACCAAAAATAGCGTCTGAAAATATAACCTGTCCCAAAGGATGCCAATAAAATCCTTGGATATTTGTCTCTTCGAGCCATACTGGTGTGAGGAATAGCTTGCATCATGTTTCCGACCTTTCTCGTGAATTTCTAATTGTAAACAAAATTGAAAGATACACGTTATCTTAGTTTTTTGGGGCTTAAGGAGGAGCCGGCGCATCAAACCATTTTCTTCCGCTCTATGTTTGTTGTTAAATAATCCTCTTTTTTTTAAAGGTTTTATCATTTATCTTGCCTTTAATTAACGTCTACCTATTGTGTACAGCAAAAGATATTGGTCCCTCTCTTATCGATTCATCTAAATTTTTAAAACCCTAAATACACTCACTTCTCAACGAGAGCAGGAATAAAAAAAAGTGTAGAAACGAGGCTTGCGTCATCAGTTTAAAGGGGATGATGTCATTAATTAAACGACGCAAGAGGTACATATCTTTTTGCATTTTGACAGCTAAATATACCCAACCATTTAATGGATGACAGTCCTTTAACAACAATTTAAGCTATCCATTCCACTCTTCTACCATATAGTTAACTAAACATCACAGACTATATGTCGACATCGTTTACGTTAATGGGCTTAGCTAGAGGATATTCCTCAAGTTTGCGGTTGATCAAATCATTCCGAGTACTTGGCAACTAGTATTAGCTTTATAAACAAAAGTGGTTTCCCCCTGACCATAACTGAACTTTAACAGTTTTAAAAGGTTAGATACATTACAGAAAGCAATAAAGTTGTTCAAATGGCCATGAACTGATTTCTTCCAGGTAGCCATACTGTCTGTCTTTAAATCATAGTTACAGTTTAAGGATTAATACAGCTATCTTTATTTTGTAGCGGAACAGTGAACCCGCCAAGGCCCACACCGGCACTTGAATTTTTAAGTGGAGAAAAAACACCGCATATTTCTGTCCCGCTGGAGAACCATATCATTGATCTGTGGGGCATATAAAACGCAGTTAACTGAAGCATTTCGGAGAGTAAAGAAGGAACCGTAGCAAGTTGTCAAGCGAACATGAAGGCTCTTGTAACTGCATTGGCGGTAAGCCTTAAAATATATCATTTTCTTGCAAGTGAACTTTAGAACTTGGAAGTGTCGATCTTATGCATTTTCCGTAAATTCCCAAATTCAGTGGTCAATTAGCTCTAGGTCATGGATAAGGCAGAGGAAGCATTACTCTAGAGGTAAACCGGCTAGTAGTTAGGATGACTTACCAATGCTATTATGCTATAGGCCATAGGAACCAAGAGTCAATGTCGTCTCCTTCATTAAGCTCTCATTTCAATTTTTGTTCTGTTACCATCAGAGAAATAGTAATAATTAACCAGAGAAAAGTTTTCTGCTGAGCGAGCAAATTACTGACGTAACAAAAACCACATATGCTATCTATCAGTTACTTCAGGTATTTATTCGAGCGATTGCAATATGGCTTCAATATGCCAACCTCAGAGCGTCACATTCTTGATTTTCAAGCCTCGAAGGGAATTGATGTTGTAATTACGATTACAAAATGCTTCTTCGACGAAACCGCGCAACGAATGATGGTTCAATGCAGAAAGGCGACTTTGATATTCCCTTTAGTTTTTGTTTTAGTTTAGATTTTGTTTTGCTTTGCTTTTTTTGTCTAAGGTTTGTTCAATTTCAAGCATTATAATCTTAGGAGCTCAGGACTTGTCTCTCTGAAGAGATTGATTCTTACTTAGATACTAGAGCTAACTTTTTTAGGCATTTTAAAGAAAACATTCCTCTACTAAGCTCAGCGTGAGAACGGTTGATCGTTTGAAACTTTTTAGAACAATGACTGACTTATTTAATTATATCAGAATTATATTAGCTCCCCAGTTTGACTGTAGTAAACACTATAAGATTCAAAGATGTTTGGCTAATCTATATAAATTCAAAAGTTGAGTAAATTGTTACAAATGTACAACGCTAAGAAAACAAAACGGACAGGTTTCCAGTAGAACCATTTTACTTTCATAGAATCACATGAAAAAAAAAAATCATAAAATGAAAGAGCAATATTTGGCTAATTATATGTAGCCGATGTGTGTGAGATAATGAATATTATTTATATTTTGCATTGTCATACTGAGCGAAATAATGCGTTGTTGCACTATCTAAACAAACGCTAAAGTTGCACATATAATTAAGAGTATCTCGCTTTTAAAGAAAGGCAGCTTATGATCTTGCCTAAGAACTTACTTCACACAGGGACTAAAAGGCGCCGTTGATTGTTTGGTTTCTCTAGCGTATAGTTAACAACGTTCGCTTTCAAAATACCCTTGAGCCTCCATCCATTTGAAAAAAACTTTCTTATATTTTAATCTATAGAGTGACTGATCAATCCCTTTCATTATTCGTCGATTCGACCGTTCCTTACACCTTTTTTGGTTCGTGACTCCAGCAAACGATAATTTACTCTGCATGGGGAAATTGATGTGGTAGAACAAGAACATGAAGTTGAAACGACTTGAATCGATCTGAATGTCGGAATATTTACAAGAAATAGCCGCGCTTTCTCTTAAATGCCAAACAGAAATTCTGTTATCATTTAACACTGTTTCTTCTGAGTCAGTGAACCGAAATTGCTTTTGAAAGCAATAGCCTCCAGATAGCTCAGACACAACAAGGATAGCTTTCAAAAATGGAAATCATACGGTATTGATTACATATCATAATGAAACAAAAGAACAAGACAGTTGATGAAATCCATACCCAATAGGCGTTGATGCGATGTACGTGCCCTGAACATCAACTGCTTTGAAAACTTCTTCCGTGCAAACACTTCTGATTTGGTTTGTTAATCACTTATTTGAACCTTTGCGCGAAAAAGAGTGGATTCAACACGTTGCTATATACTCAGTGACTGTATTGGATTTCAATACAAACACTTCTTACAGCCACGCACAAAATAACAAATCCGAAACAAACAGGCACGTAAAGGAACCAACCATCGTCTTTCCATGATGATTGACACAAGTGATAACTGAGATATTAGAACATTGAATAAAGGCTGATATTTTCTAAAGAAACTGTTTGGGGCTGCGTCGGTAGGGGTAACGAAATAATTTGATTATATCAACAAAGTTGTAATGGTGAATTGGACACCGTTACGATTATAAAAGCTGAAGTTTCAAGCGTTAGCTCTTCGTCGGAGCGAATAGAGGAATTGTGGGTTGTGTGTGCTTTTAAAGGCAAATAAAGGAGCTACGTGATTGGTGAGAACATGGCAACGAGAAAAACACGAATAAATTAGTGGAATGAAAAGCGTTCGTTGATACCTGTGGGATTTAGACTGCCCGTTTGAAAGATGAGCTTTTGCTCAAGATTTTTCCGGCTTTTCGTGCTACCTAAGTGTAAGGAAAGACCGCAGATTGCCATGTGCTGCTTAGAATGGCCAGGTAAATTAAAATGTCTAGCAACCGGTTTCGATG